ATGCTGTCTACAAGAGACCCACTTCAGACCAAGGGACACATACAGACTGAAAGTGACAGGATGGAAAAAGATACTCCATGCAAATGGAAATCAAAAGAAAGCTGGAGCAGCAATTCTCATATCAGACAAAATAGACTTTAAAATAAAGACTATTAAAAGAGACAAAGAAGGACACTACATAATGATCACGGGATCCAGCCAAGACAAAGATGTAACAATTGTAAATATTTATGCACCCAACATAGGAGCACCTCAATACATAAAGCAAATGCTAACAGCCATAAAAGGGGAAATTGACAGTAACACAATCACAGTAGGGGAATTTAACACCCAACTTTCACAAATGGACAGATCATCCAAAATGAAAATAAATAAGGAAACACAAGCTTTAAATGATACATTAAACAAGATGGACTTAATTGACATTTATAGGACATTCCATCCAAAAACAACAGAATACTCTTTCTTCTCAGTGCTCATGAACATTCTCCAGGATAGATCATATCATCAGTCACAAATCAAGCCTTGGTAAATTTAAGAAAATTGAAATCGTATCAAGTATCTTTTCCAAACACAATGCTATGAGACTAGATATCAATTACAGGAAAAAAACTGTAAAAATACAAACACATGGAGGCTAAACAATATGCAACTAAATAATCAAGCAATAACTGAGGAAATCAAAAAATACCTAGAAACAAATGACTGAAAACAAGATGGCCCAAAACCTACGGGATGCAGCAAAAGCAGTTTTAAGAGGGAAGTTTAAAGCATTACAATCCTACCTCAAGAAGCAAGAAAAACCTCAAACAACCTAATCTTACAACTAAAGCAATTAGACAAAGAAGAACAAAAAACCCCAAAGTTAGCAGAAGGAAAGAAATCATAAAGATCAGATCAGAAATAAATGCAAAAGAAATGAAGAAAACTATATAAAATATGAATAAAACTAAAAGCTGGTTCTTGGAGAAGATAAACAAGATTGATTAACCATTAGACAGGCTCATCAAGAATAAAAGGAGAAGACTCAGATCAACAGAATTAGAAATGAAAAAGAGAAGTAACAACTGACACTGCAGAAACACAAAGGATCAAGGGAGATTACTACAAGCAACTATATGCCAATAAAATGGACAACCTGGAAGAAATGGACAAATTCTTAGAAACGCACAAACTTCTGAGACTGAACCAAGAAGAAAGAGAAAATATAAACAGACAAAACACAAGCACTGAAATTGAAACTGTGATTAAAAATCTTCCAACAGGGCTTCCCTGGTGGCGCAGTGCTTGAGAGTCCGCCTGCCGATGCAGGAGACGCGGGTTCGTGCCCCGTTTCGGGAGGATCCCGCGTGCCGCGGAGCGGCTGGGCCCGTGGGCCATGGCCGCTGGGCCTGCACGTCCGGAGCCTGTGCTCCACAAATGGGAGAGGCCACGACAGTGAGAGGCCCGCATAACGCAAGAAAAAAAAAAAAAATCTTCCAACAAACAAAGGCCAAGGACCAGATGGTTTCACAGGCGAATTCTATCAAACATTTAGAGAAGAACCAACACCTATCCTTCTCAAACTCTTCCAAAATATAGCAGAGGGAGGAACACTCTCAAACTCATTCTAGGTAGCCACCATCACCCTGATACCAACACCAGACAAAGATATCACAAAAAAAGAAAAGTACAGACCAATATCACTGATGACCATCGATGCAAAAATCTTCAGTAAAATACGAGCAAACAGAATCCAAAGGCACATTAAAGGGATTATACACCATGATCAAGTGGGGTTTATCCCAGGAATGCAAGGATTCTTCAATACATGCAAATCAATGTGATACACCACATAAACAACCTGAAGGATAAAAACCATATGATAATCTCAATAGATGCAGAAAAAGCTTGCAACTAAATTCAACACCCATTTTTGATAAAAACTCTCCAGAAAGCAGGCACAGAGGGAACTTACCTCAACATAATAAAGGCCATATATGACAAACCCACAGCCAACATCGTTCTCAATGGTGAAAAACTGAAACGATTTCCACTAAAATCCTGAACAAGACAAGGTTGCCCACTCTCACCACTCTTATTTAACATAGTTTTAGAAGTTTTAGCCACAGCAATCAGATTAGAAAAAGAAATAAAAGGAATGCAAATCGGAAAAGAAGTAAAGCTGCCACTGTTTGCAGATGACATAATACTATACATAGAGAATCCTAAAGATGCTACCAGAAAACTACTAGAGCTAATCACTGAATTTGGTAAAGTAGCAGACTACAAAATTAATGCACAGAAATCTCTTGTATTCCTACACACTAACGATGAAAAATCTGAAAGCAAAATTAAGGAAACAGTCCCATGTACTATTTCAACAAAAAGAATAAAATACCTAGGAATAAACCTACCTAAGGAGACAAAAGACCTGTATGCAGAAAATCATAAGACACTGATGAAAGAAATTAAAGATGATACAAACAGATGGAGAGGTATACCATGTTCTTGGATTGGAAGAATCAACAGTGTGAAAATGACTATATTACCCAAAGTAATCTACAGATTCAATGCAATACTTATCAAACTGCCAATGGCATCTTTCATAGAACTAGAACAAAAAATTTCACAACTTGTGTTGAAAAACAAAAGACCCTGAACAGCCCAAACAATCTTGAGAAAGAAAAACGGAGCTGGAGGAATCAGGCTCCCTGACTTCAGACTATACTACGAAGCTACAGTAATCAAGACAGTATTGTAGTGGCAGAAAAACAGAAATATAGATCAACAGAACAGGATAGAAAGTCCAGAGATAAACCCATGCACATATGGTCACCTTATTTTTGATAAAGGAGGCAAAAAAATACAATGGAGAAAAGACAGCCTCTTCAATAAGTGGTGCCGGGAAAATGACAGCTACATCTAAAAGAATGAAATTAGAACACTCCCTAACACTGTACACAAAAATAGACTCAAAATGGATTAAAGACCTAAATGTAAGGCCAGACACTATAAAACTCTTTGAGGAAAACATAGGCAGAAAACTCTATGACATAAATCAAAGCAAAATCCTTTTTGACCCGCCTCCTAAAGAAATAGAAATAAAAACAAAAATAAACAAATGGGACCCAATGAAACTTCAAAACTTTTGCACAGCAAAGGAAACCATAACCAAGACGAAAAGACAACACTATGAATGGGAGAAAATATTTGCAAATGAAGCAACTGACAAAGGATTAATCTCCAAACTTTACAAGCAGCTCACGCAGCTCAATATCCAAAAAATAACAACCCAATCCAAAAATGGTCAGAAGACCTAAATAGACATTTCTCCAAAGAAGATATACAGACTGCCAACAAACACATGAAAGGATGCTCATCATCACTAATCGTCAGAGAAATGCAATCAAAACTATAATGAGGTATCACCTCACACCAGTCAGAATGGCCATCATCAAAAAATCTAGAAACAGGGGCTTCCCTGTGGTGCAGTGGTTGAGAGTCGCCTGCCAATGCAGGGGACACGGGTTCATGCCCCGGTACGGGAAGATCCCACATGCCGCGGAGCAGCTGGGCCCATGAGCCATGGCCACTGAATCTGTGCGTCCGGAGCCTGTGCCCCGCAACGGGAGAGGCCACAACAGTGAGAGGCCCGCATACTGTGAAAAAAAAAAAAAAAAACTAGAAACAATAAATGCCGAAGAGAGTGTGGAGAAAAGGGAACCCTCTTGCACTGTTGGTGGGAATGTAAACTGATACAGCCACTATGGAGAACAGTATGGAGGTTCCTTAGAAAACTAAAAACAGAACTACCATATGACCCAGCAATCCCACTACTGGGCATATACCCTGAGAAAACCATAATTAAAAAAGAGTCATGTTCCACAATGGTCATTAAAACACTATTTACAATAGCCAGGACTTGGGAGCACCCTAAGTGTCCACTGACAGATGAATGGATAAAGAAGACATGACACATATATACAGTGCAATATTACTCAGCCATAAAAGGAAACAAAGTTGAGTTATCTGTAGTGAAGTGGATGGACCTAGAGTCTGTCATACAGAGTGAAATAAGTCAGAAAGAGAAAAACAAATACTGTATGCTAACACATATATATATGGAATCTAAAACAAAAAAGTTGTAAAGTGCTTGGCATTAAAACTTTCTCCAGACGTAATAGAGTCATCCGTAACTAATAAGATCACAAAGGAAAATTACATGTAAAAATTAAAAGAAAGTCTCTTAATAAAAGTACTATAAAAGCATCTTTAAACAGTATCTAACATAGTACTTTTTGAACAGATATTCACAACATAAGTTATATTGTTGTGATTTGAGAATAGAATTGAACTTAGAAATACAAACATTAAATGAAAACACTTCATTAACACAATTTTGAAAAAAAGAGGTAATAACTCAGTCAATTTACAAAAAGAGAGGTGGGGTGGAATGAGGGTAATTTAGACGGGCTAATATAAGAAATTTTCACTTTCAAACAATATAAGAATCTCTAGCATGTAATAACACTTGCATCTTTAAGACGATGTTACCAAAATGTAGGTGGTCATCTTGAAGGTTATCACCAAAAGCTCTACATTTTCAAATCTGTTGGAATTACAGACACAAAAGGCCACGTATTATGATTCTCTTTACGTGAAATGTCAAGAATTGGAATATCTACAGAGATAGAAAGTGGATGAGTGGTTGACAGGGGCTGGAGGAAGGAGGGAATAGGGAATGACTGCTAATGGGTACATGGTTATATTTTTGATAAAAATGGTCTAAAAGTAAACAATGGTGATGATCGTACAACTTTGTGAATTCACTAAAAAACCATTAAACTGTACACTTTCCAAGGGTGAACTTTATGGTATGTGAATTATATTTCAATAAAACTATTATTAAAAGATTAAATTTAAATTAAAAAGTAATCTGACAGAATTCATAATGTCAATTTATACTACAACAGACATCATTCAGAGCCTTCCACCTGTTCCAATAGCTTCTTTTTTACCTTGGCAAGGCGGCTCATCTGATCTTCTGAGAGAGTACTGCTTGTTCTGCCAGGAGTTTTTGTGGGTTCTGATCCATCTGCTTCCACGTTAGGCCAGACTTTCAAGTCATGCATCCCTTGGCGAAACATGCTAGGCAAAAAGAGAATGTTCAGGACAGAATTATTAATGTAGCTCATTAGTTCATTAGAAATTTCAGATTCGTAAACAGAGAGAATTCTACCAAGGAAACACATGTCTCTCTTGCCAAGCTTTAAGCCTCCAGTGGGCTGTAAAGCAATTAACCAAGCAACTAAAATCCATGTAACCCTGTTTTTCACGTGCCATTCTTTTCTCCTCCAAGCAGTTAGAACTATTACAGAGATTCTAAAGGTAAACTGGAAACAGAGAAGCATCAGTAATGGACCACATGCACTTCATCACTTCAGTGGAGATCTTAGAAACAGAAACCAAATTTCTACCCAGTGAAAGAATGTCACATTTACAATGACTAAAACAAAATTAAAATAATTATATAACTTTCTACTTTAAATGACAATTCAGCATAGTAGTCAGCAGAGTTGAACTGCCGAGGTTTGGATCCCAGCTGTGCCATCTATTACCTACAAGACTTTGGGTAAGTTACTTAACTTCTCTGTACCTGTTTCCTCATCTATAAAATGAGATTATAAAGAGGAACTGTATCTCGCAGAGTTGTTAGAAAAATTAAATAAACCAGTACAAGTAAAAAGTACTTAGAATAGTGTCTACCACGTAATAAGTATTCGATAAATGTTAGCTATTATTTTCCTTTTCACTGGGTACAGGCTTATTTTTCTCCCATCTTCTTTTCCATAGGAAAGATGTCTAAAAGGGAATACAATAGTGGATTTGGTAAGAAAAAATACCCATGTCTACAAATCAGAAATTTAACATATTGTTGAAATTCAGCCTGAGCTGGATGATCCTGCTTTAAAGTAAAAGACTACATGACCTCTGATTGTCATGCTTCTGCTTCTTTCAAAAAGCTACCATGAAGACCCACAGTAAAGGCTGAACAAACTCATAAAAGAAGCTCTAGACAAATATGCTTTTTAAATACGCTGTCAAGTTTCTGAGTTTTGTTTATTTGAAGAGGGTTAGAGATAGTCTTCTGTTAGTGTGTTTTCTTTTCTTAAGTGTTGTTTAACAAGGCCTTTCAAACAATATAAAGTCTATTCAAACAGCATCCTCCCAAAGCTGAAAGGCCAAGCTGTCAATCGCAATGAAAAGAATAAGACTAGAAGTGTGTGCAGGTGAGTAGGCAAGTCCAAAGACTCCCATATTAAATATTTTTTTAATTAGGTACACGATGGATATAGTGATGCACTTTTCCCATCTTTAAAACCACTGTACTTAACTGTAAAAGGTTCACATTAATTTTTAAACCATTATTATCATGATCTGACCAATGGAAAATTTCTTAGCAGATTTTCCTGAGGTAATAAAGAGAATTTTCACTGAACATTATGTAATGTATGTAAGTAATGATGCCATAAACATTTAGATTGGAAACTATAAAGGACAGCTACAAGCTGACGAGCAGTATAAGATTAAGGATCAAATATGTCAAGGTCTAAGTTTGGCAATAAACAGGTAATATCCAGCAACCATATCTGCAAAAGCTTACTTTATAGGCCCAACACAAAATGTACTGACTGGTTGTGAAGACTCAATACACCCAATATTTATCTATCATGTTAAAGATCAAAAAAAAAAGTGGTATTATTTAAAAAGCCTTTATAAAGTTCATTTTCTTTCCCTTTCAACTGAGAGACATTCAACATAAAGCAGACCTTAGTCTCTAAGAAACTGGGTACAGTAAGGTCATAATACCACTTTCCATGAATATCCTTAAATATACCTTCAGAAACAGCAGAAAGCTTCCCTTCCTTCTCTCCACTTCCTTGCCCCCAAGTGAATAGTTTGGCTGAACTTAACTAAATCAAAACTAAGTACATTTGGCAGGAAGTCAGTTTACTAAATGATTTAGGTGTGTTGGGATGGATCTGGAGAAGAGATTTAAGGATAAGGGGACATGGAAGGTAGGGGTGATGCCAAGTGATTCAAATGATCAAGTGAACATATTACTTTCTTTTGACACTAATGGAACCTTTACAGAGAGTTACACAGCCTCCAGGTGGCAAGCCAGAAGATGCTCAGAGCATCAAGTCCTTTTGGGAAATTAAGCCAAACAGGCAAGAAAGAAAACCGTATAGTAGGATCTCCCTCAGACACAAGCAGAGGCCCCAGCAACAGCTGCTGTAGATGCTCCAGCTCCCAGTGCCAAGCCACTACAGCAACAACTGGCCTGACTTCAGAATTCATATTTGGAAAAAACATCTGCAAGAGAAATATACAGCTTATGTATGATCCTTTGCCAATTCAACCTAATGATCAATCAATTCTTTAGCTATTTAGGAATCTCACAAGCTAGACTTTCAAAATGAGGACAATTAGTTACTCCAGCCATATCCTAACAGATCTGTCTTTCGATTAACTACATTATCCTCCAAGAACCACTGCTTCACACTGACTCAAGTATACAAAACAGGTATTAGCAAACAGCAAGAGTTGGTAGTCACAGGACTCCCGATACTATAACACAGCTATTAGACACTTTGAGGACCACTTTTAAAAAGCTAATAAGTCCATACCAAGACTATTTAAGGAACAAGGTGGGGTACAACTGGTGGTATTTCATTACCTAAGACACATTTGAGGAAATGAAGGTCTAAAGCAGCATTTCCCTAAGTCATGAGAACTGTGGTGGCACATGACATGATTTTTAATGGTAGGTGGAAAAAAATTTGCATAGGCTTCCTCCTGAGATCACACAGAAGACTCATGCTACTTTCTCACCATGAATGTCAGCAACACCATGCCGAGAAGCAGCTGTGACCCAGCAGTACAAGTGGATGTCTGCACTCTGCTATAGCACCTGGAACATCCTGAATATCATATTCTTCCACAATCCAAAGGTGCACAGGAAGTCCAATATCCTGTGAGGGAATGCCTCGGCTTGTCTCCACTGCACCCCAGTTAGCCTTCAAGGGAAGGCCTCAGGACACAGAGAGAAAAAGGAGTTATTTTAATTTCATAGGGCTTCTCAGATTTCCTTTTTCTGAGGTGCAGGTCACTATAAGCATCAGCCTAGAGGGAATAGTAGGTGATCTAACATGAGTTATTATACACACACGTACACACAATGATTACTACTGATTTCACGTACTTCATAAAAACTTGTCAAAGGCCAAGTAAAACCGTGTCACAAATGTCAATCTGAGAACTGATTTGGCTGTAGGCAGGTCATTTCACTGTACTTCTATGGAAATTTCTATTGTCTCACACCTACAGTCTAGTCAGATTGTCTCCTGAAACTACATCCTAAGGTCAACGAAAATGTATCGATATATGAGTTTTAAAAGAGGTGTTTTCATGAGGGAAACTCGTGCTGTTATTTCAGAAGGTAAACCACTAATGAAGAGGCCAGGAAGAAAAACCAAGAGGTCTATCTGGCTGTTTCTCAAGAAGATTTAACCACTAAGACTACAGTAAGAGTAATAAACTGTTGTGCATTTTTTTTCTATATGGCAAGCAAATTCCACCCTGGTAGAGAAAGTAAAAAGGTACAAACACTCCAGAAAAGAAACATACTGATTTTGTAATATGTCCATTCTACTATAACCTGCCATTTTATCAAAAACCATATTTAAAACTGGAGGCCACGATGTCTCAGACTATGTCTAAATTATTGTTCCTGCATGGATTTCAATAATAAATATTTCTTTAATAGATACATTAAAGTAAAATACCTACACATTACTAAGCAATCAAGCTATTCTCAATGAAATTACATCTACATTTTATTCATGAGTTGAAGCTTTTCTGAGACATCCTATCCTGAACAGAAAAATTCAATATTATAAGGATATCAATTCTCTCTGTAATTCACATATATAATTCAATACAGTTTCCCAACAAAATAAGAATGAGCTTTTTTTTAAACTGAGGAAATAATATTAATATTTATCTGATAAAATATAGAGACTATCCAGAGAAATTCTGAAAGGACTACAAATGAGGAAGATTATCTGTCTCTAATATTAAAACATTTTATAATTAATAGTATTCAAAACTAACAAGAATAGTTCAGAAATAATGACAGCTAATATTTACTGAGCACTTATTAAGCTCATTACATGTCTTTAGTAATTTATCATCATCAACTACTCTGTGAGGTAAATACTAATATCTCATTTTACAGATAAGGAAACTGAGGCATAAAGAGATTAAATAACTTGCCCAAGGGTACACAGATAATAAGCAAAAGAGCCAGGTTTTAAACCCAGACAATCTAGTTCTACCTGCCTTCCTAACCACCACTGGTTTATAAAAAACTGATAAATTCAACATCATAATTTAAGATTCATGAGCTGCAAGTAAATAAGCAACGAACAAATATATGATAATTCAAAAGAAAATGTCAAAGAGGAAAAACAATATGTGTAACATGTAACACACAAAGGGCTAATTTCACTAATCTACAAAGACCCCTTACAAATTAATAAGAAAAATTACAATTCAAAAAAAAAGACAAAGAATTTTATGGTATGTGAATTATACCTCAATTTTAAAAAATGGGCAAAGGATATGAAAAAGCAATTCACAGAAACATAAACACAAATGTAAAGGGAAATATCACAATACGATCATCTTCACTCATATTTAATGATGTGAAAATTAATTTAGGAGATAACATTTTTCAATTTTAAAATGGGCAAAAATTAACAAGTTTGATAATACCTAGATTATGGTCTCTACCATTTGATACCTAAAGGAACTAGGACTTCTTTCAGAGAGTCCAGGTCTGGGAGAGGAAATTTCCCAATGAGCCTGGAATAGCTTGTCTCCAGAAAGTAAAGAAGCTACCAATGACTACTGGTGTGCTACACTGTCAAAAGAACATGGGATCAACTTGAAGGCGCTCCTACTGACCAAAAATTGGAATTTTTAAGAATTATAAAGAATAAAAAGAACAATAGATTGAAACATTTCAAAACTGTTTAAAAGTTCATGATTGAACTTAAGAACAAAACACAAAAAAACCATCAATCGTCACTTTCAAGGTTACCAAGGCACCAACCAATTCATTCTTAAAATTGTTAAAGGGGAAAAAAATTAAACATTCATCTGCCTTTCCTATATGAACTGTATACCAAGGTAACTCAATATATGATGAAAGACCAAGTTTTCTAGAGAAAAATTCCAATTAATAAACATAGAAAGAATAGAATGTCAACAATTTTCTTAAGATGAAGAGTGATCTCTCTGCTCAGGAGAAAAGGGATAGAGAAAAAACACCCTAAAGGACTATCATGTTTTTGTTTTGGGGGGTTTTTTTTACAATAAACTTCTATTATCTGTAAATTTTTAAAAACAAAATTAACTTTCCTATTATAATCATTACCATTACAGCAAATTAGTGCTTTAGTACTTTTTAAACCCTGTTTATTGTCCTTTTTGTCACTATTATAACAAAGCAGAAAAACCGTATAACAAAGCAGTTACAGTATATGGCAAATAGCCTTTTTTTCCTAAAAATAAGGTTCCAGTTTCCAATGACTATTTCCTAATAGAAATCGCATTACCAATCATTAACAGTAGAGAAATACAAACTGTGTTTTTTAATTAATCTATCTGCATCTCCTGAAGGAAATATGTGCCAACTTCAGTCTCAAGTACTACAGAATCATATGTATCCAATATGTATCCAATAGGTTTCACTTCCTAGCACAGAGAACCAGACTGGGCATAAACTATTAAGGTCAAGAAAGAAAAGGGCCAGAAAGCAACAACATTTCCATAGGAAAAGAAAACGCTTACCCATATTTCCCGAACAGTGAAACTGTTGTTCCTCCCACAGGCACTGCCTTTCCTGGTCCATACACATCCCATATAGTCAGGGCCACCTGCGCATTCCTGGGCAGGTCAGGGTATTTCACAGGCAGTTTTAGCCATTCATTCCAGCTATGGAAATAAAGTCAACAAAAACATAAAGCTAAGGAAAGAAAGTCAACATAAACATATGTGTATAACTTTCTTTTAAGTTAACAAACCATACAAGAAGGTTTGTCCAGAGAAAATGTCAAAAGATTAAGTTAGTAGTACAAAAAATAACGTGGCACTTACCTCAATTTTGCTCTACGCAACTTCAATTTTAAATACAGGCATATCTGTATTTTATTTCACTTCACTTTATTGGGCTTTGCAGATGTTGCATTTTTTACAAATTGAGGTATATGGCAACTCTGCATCTAACAAGTCTATGGGTACCATTTTTCCAACAGCTTTTGCTCATTTCGTGTCTCTCTATCCCATTTTGGTAATTCTTTCAATATTTCAAACTTTTTCATTATTAACATATTTTTTTATGGTGATCTGTTGTAAGTGATCTTTGATGTTAGATGTTACTACTATGACTCGCTGAAGGCTCAGATGGTAGGATTTTTTAGCAATAAAGTAATTTTTAATTAAGGTATGAACACTGTGTTTAGACACAATGCTATTGCACACCTAATAGACTACAGTATAAAGATAACTTTCATATGCATTGGAAAACCAAAAAAATCGCTTTATTGCAATACTCGTTTTATTGTGTTGATCTAGACCTGAACCTGCAATAATCTCCAAGGTATGCCTATAGAACACATGAAAAAAAATATTTTGAAAAACAAAGCTCATGAAAAATAACACTGGTAAATTCTTTAATCAAGAAACTCAGACATCAAGGATTTACTGTATAGCACAGGGAACTATAATCAATATCTTGTAATAAAATATAATAGAAAAGAATAAGAAAAAAGATATATACATATATATGTATAACAGAATCCGTTTGCTATATACCTGAAACCAACACAATACTGTAAATCAACTACACCTCAATGAAGAAAAGAAAAGAAACAGACGATATCACTAAGACACAAGGAATATAATAATGGCTAATAAAAATCTGGGAAAACACATAAACCTATTAGAACCAAAGTTGTTTTAGAACTAAACTGTGATTTTTTTTTTTTCTGTAAGCATTCTCCAGAACAGTTTTTTATTAAGAAAAGAAAGAAATCAGAATTACTCATATTATACTCAAAATGGGGCTAGGTATAATATGGTCCTATAATATATATCAGTATCTCAATAAAGCAGAAAAAACCCAAAATTTTAAACAGATCAAAGGAGACCATCCACTAACTTTGTAACATGAAGTTACTAGACTGCTCTGGACAGATATGTGACAACTTTTTACATGAGATTTTTCTTCCACTCAAGTTATTTCATAAATACCAATAATGCTTAGCTATTTTTTTTTTTTTTTTTTTTTTTTTGTGGTACGCAGGCCTCTCACTGTTGTGGCCTCTCCCGTTGCGGAGCAGTCTCCGGACGCACAGGCTCAGCGGCCATGGCTCACGGGCCTAGCCACTCCGTGGCATGTGGGATCTTCCCGGACCAGGGCACGAACCCGTGTCCCCTGCATCGGCAGGCGGACTCTCAACCACTGCACCACCAGGGAAGCCCCTTAGCTATTTTTTTTAATGCTTTCAAAGCATATTTTTACATATGATTTCACTAAGGAATGTTTGTTCTTACAGTAATGACAGCACAGCTCTCCCATTTTTTTTACTCTCTATTCACCTGTGCAAATTTTCTTCTGCATTCAAACTTAACACTGGATTTATGTGATCATCTCAACGTCTTTAAACAAGAGATGGCTTTTAAAATCCCAAAAGAAAACTATGCAAACAACACACAAAGTAATACCCAGCAGACACACAGAATTGCTTCTCTCTGTTTACTCAAAATTATTCTCAAAGGACATATCCCAGTCTAGGTCAAATACACCTGCATCAGTAAGAAACTGAACAGAATTTCACGAACTTATTAAAGAACAAAACATTTACATCCACCATATAAATTCAAGGACCTACAGGAAAATTAGAGATGGCTACCAATTTAAAGGAGACTCTAAACATCATTAAATCCTTTTATTCTATGAAGTTCTTAAATAAATAAAATACATGTTTAAAAAGCCTTTCTCCCCTACAGACAAGCTTAAGAAACTAAATGAATTTATTTAATTACTACTCACATGGTGGCCAGAATAAAAAGGTAAATACTAAGCAGTGTAACCTTATGCCAATGAGCAAACCACAGAAATTAGTTAACATAGGCTAAAGTTAAAGAGAAAAGTCAGTAACAATATCCAAAATGAGCTGTGAAAATACCCTTATATTCTGTCCTTTGACTAGGAGACAATACATAAGAGCAAGCAATCATTTGCCTCAAACCTTTTGCCATCCAACACCTGACCCCCACACCTCTTTAAATTAAAGCAAAAACACTTTACCTGTTTTACATACTGGGTTTCTGCAGAAGATTTCTTTTGAAGAAAATGAATCTGCAGCTAAAAAATAGTTTGAAAACTACTCAAGATATTCTAGAAATTATGAAAAGATCTGGTCAGACATCAAAGAACTGTGTATTTTGAACACCATTTTGTTCTCTCCCTTCCCATGAATCATCCCTTCTTCATGCCCCAACTCTAATTAGGCTTAAATTCACCTGGCAACTTTCAAAATATTACAGGATTCTAAAGCCTGATTCTGGATGGTATGACTTCCTACCATGTAGCCCACACCCATACACCAGTGTACTAATTCTCTAGTGTGATTAATGCACTCCTAAATCCTAACTTTCTAATTTTAAAATTATATTAGATAGTCTATGTCTAAAGCCATTTCAAATCCTCCACGTGACAAGACAAAATATAAATTAAAAAAAAAATTTAAACCACTTGCCTGCAGAATAATATTCATATATATAACTTAAAATTTGCAGTATTTCACACCTAAAGATGATAATTTTACCCTAAGTGTAACTAAAGAAAGTACAGGTTTCCTCCCCATGGGCTCTCTTATTATAGGACAGGATAGAATAGAATATGGTAGAAGAGATTCGGATGAATTTTGGATGAGCTTTTCATGATTTGAACTCTCACAACTCACTATCAGAAACTCAGAAATAGATTTAGACAACTTGGAATCTCATACTACCCCAAAATACTTTCTGAAATGCAAAAATTAAGATAGCAAGAGATCCTTTTGTGGTATAATTTATTCCCCCCCCCCAGTCTACAGAATCTTCTTTTAAGTCAGTGCTTATAGAAAATAAGGGCTGTATAAAGTTTGCCCTTATTTATTTTAGAAGTACTATTTTTGTTTTGATGAATTGGTAAAAACTTCAACTCTTAAATACTAAAGAGCAGGATGTAAAAAATCTGCAAATGTTTCCCTTAAGCCCAAAGAGTATATTTAAAAGAAGATAGGGACTTCCCTGGTGGTGCAGTGATTAAGAATCCACCTGCTAATGCAGGGGACATGGGTTCGAGCACTGGTCCAGGGAGATCCCACATGCCGTGGAGCAACTAAGTCTGTGCACAACTACTGAGCCTGTGCTCTAGAGCCTGCGAGCCACAACTACTGAAGCCCGCGTGCCTAGAGCCCGTGCTCCGCAATGAGAAGCCACCATAATGAGAAGCCCATGCACCACAACAAAGAGTAGCCCTGCTAACCACAACTAGAGAAAGCCCGCACACAGAAACGAAGCCCCAAGGCAGCCAAAAATAAATAATTAATTAAAAAAATAAAAGATAAAAACCTATCCTCATATATTTACCCGACGTAAGGTATTTTCTCAATCTATCTTCTACACAGCTGTTTTAAACCTTTTAATTAAAAAATAAAGCCATTCTAATTATTTTAGAGTACTTTGTTAGTTTCACAATTTAAAAAAAATATAAACTAAAAACCTCAAACCTTGAGAGAGCAAATATGAAAGTTTTTATATCCTTGAAAATACATAATACATAAACAATGCAGAGAGGAGCTGGTAAATGGGAGGAAGAGGAGAAAGATGTTCATCTCCCTATAACTGGGAATTTGCTTTTGCTCTAATCTCTTTTATTGCCAAGGTATGGAACAAAACCACCATACAATTTCCCCCAAGAAAAGTGGAATTCTCCATAAATGTTGACTTCCTAGACCTAAATTTGTGGTCCTAAATCTTTTGGGGGGGGTCACAAGCCACCTCAAAAAGTCTAATAAAAGCTTTGAGCTCTGTCCTCGTAAAAATGCGCAAGACACAAAAAAATTCTGCATACAATTTCAGGGTTTTGTAGATTTCCTGATTCCAGTTTAAGAACCTCTGATACAATTATAGGAGTTTTGGTGGGTTGTTTTAGGTGTAATGATGATATGTAGCTATGTTACAGACATAAATATTTAAGTTAAGATGATATAATATTTGGAATTTGCTTCAAAATAACATTGGGTATAGCTGAAACAAGATTGGCCTGAGTAAGTAATTACTGAAGGTAGGTGAGGGAGCCCTGGAAGTTCATTATATTATTCTCTCTACTTTTACAGGTTTGAAATTTTCCAGAATAATAAGTACAAATACATATGTATACTCGTGTGTATATATATCTAGCCACAAAAAGACTACTAAAGAAATTACACCATTAAAACAGTTGATTTCAGTGTAGCCAGATCATCAGAGCTTAGGCTTCTGATCTCTCCACAAAACTTTTCCCAATCTGCTGGGCCACACTTGGCAAACAAAGGGTTGTATCCTCAACAGTACAGCCTGGGAGTCCATGTGGCCACATCCTGTCCTCCAAGAATACTGTGGGCATAAACTCCTTCACTGAGAGGCACACAACCTGTGTATCCTGTACCAAGCCTACCAGGGTACTGAATAATACTCACGAATCAAACATTAAAACTGCACCACACAATCTATCAAATAAGAAGTGTCAAGAGATTATATTAAGGATCTACAATACTATCCTGGAAAAATGGGAACTTCATGTTCATTACATTTACCTCGAATTCCAACAATGGCTTGCTAATGCAGCATGCTTAATAAACTTAAAAAAACAGTTAGTTTCACATTTAACATAAACAACTGATCCAAACAGATGACAACATATCTCTCTCTAAAGATCTGCGTTCCAAACATCAGCTTAGACAACATCTCAGACTATCCAAAGGTGTTTCTGTGTTCAAGGGCATAAAATGGGAGCAAATTTAGAGACGTGTTTTTGGTTTGGGTCATTTTGTGAATCAGTCAAGTTCTCATAAAAATATATCAATATACTCAATACAAACATAAATTCACTTCCACCTCAATTAGGCAAATAAATTCACTTCCACCTACTTTATCTGAGTAGGTTCCTACTTTAAAATATTTGATCATTGCTATATAGGTATTAAATAAAGAATTTAATTCCTCTGTAATCCCAAATAATACTTTCAACATCTATAAAGAAATTGGAGAATAGTCTGGAACCCACCATATTCAAGAAAACAACTTACTTCCATCTCGTACTAAATGCTTTGTAGGATGTTCTCACTGGCAAGGCAAGAGGCTTCCCTTCTGCAAAAACTTGGCAAGTAACATAGAGGTCAGAACATGTTTCTTGGTACAGTCCTGAAAACTTCAACATTGGGTCTTCTAGAACAGCTTTATAACTCTTTTGTTCTCTCTTCCCTTCCAAACTTCCTCTGAAAGCATAAAAGCAATAATGTTTACACACATTTTTAAAAGACAAACACAACAAATACTAAGAGTTTATGGTTATGTCACAGTAACCTTATGCTACCTGAACATTTTCCTATAGATGAAATTAAAGTCATTTTTTCATTTACTAAAGGTCTCCTAAAATACTAACATGCCTAAGATCATTCCTAACTTCATCAACATATTTCTTTATTTTAGGCTTCTTAATTTTAAACCCTGTCATCAACTCTTGTGTCTACCTTCTAGATGTCACCAGCTTTCCAAGCATTAGTTTCATTTTATTAATTTCAAGTTAACCACTTATTCCTGTAGTCTTTCAACAACATTTACTGTACTAAGCATAGAAGTCCAGAAATGAAAGACAAGATAAACAATACAGTGTTACAGGAAAATATTAAGTCCTTGCTCTAGGGAGAAAACTTACTTTTAATGCGTATTTTTTTCATGCTTTCATTTTTTTTGTTTACTATGTAGATATATTATCTAATCAGTTCTTTAAATTAAGAAATAGTGCTTTAAGTAGTAAAAGATATGCATAAAATTATAAAAGAGGTAGGAACACTGCTTGGAAATCAAGATTACATCATATATTGGGCCAGGCATTTTATAGAGACTTTCTTACTTACTTTTCACCATATAATCATGTTATAGATCATGAAGCAGACTCAGAGATCAAGCTTATTATCCAGGATCACAAAGTAAGTAACAGAGCTGAGAATAAAAACCAGGACAGAGGAAGCCAAAGCCAATGTTCTTCCCATTACCGAAAGATATATCAGAAAGTCTCAGGAGCACCTAACGTGGCTTGGAGGTAGGGCTCATAACCCAGATAGATGCCTGAAATGAGCCTGAACAATATATGAAAGATGAGAGCCAGAGGCAGAGAGTCATCCCAGAATAAAAGAACAGCATATACAACTGCAAAAAGGCAAGATAGTGTGTCTGACGAACTACAGGTTGGTATAGCTAAAGCATAAAGCTCATGTGGAGAAGAAGCTAGAGATGAGAATGAAGTGTAGGGGGGCAATGAAGCCAAGTAGCCACCAAATTCAGTACAGTGCCTCATGCAAAATGAAAATTCAAAAACCTGTTAACTGAACAATTTGAATTGAGAGAAATATAATCAGATTTGTGTTTATGATACTTTGGCAAGAGTATAAGAAAGTAATGGATAGGTGGGACTGAAAGCAAGATCAGTTGGAAGACTTTCAATCAAAATTAAAAGGAAAAGGGTAGACTAAGGCTAGGGCAATGGGGTTTAAAGGGGGCATGGATCAAAGATACTGAGCTGGTAGATTCAAGACAACTTGTAAAGGATTAAACAGAAAAGGTGAGAGGCGGTGTCTGCATGAATCCATATGACTCCTTTTCTGTCTTAACCAAAATCAATGAATGATGCTAACAATCACCAAAATAGGTTGAGAGAAGATAAAAGTTAGAGGGCATGCTAATGATGTGCTCCATTTTGGACAAGTTGCTTTTAAAGTGCTTTGGGACATCCAAAGTGACCATGTCTTGTGGGCAGTTTGATATTCAACTATGGCACTAAGAAAAGAGACGTCAAAGTGCAAGTTTTATTAAAACCACAGAAACAGATGAAAAGCCCTGGGGAAAATAAACAGAATTTTAAAATTTACTGTTCTCTGACTATATGATTCTAAACTGATACTTCCTGCCCTCCCCAAAACTAGTCTCAGACGCTAAAAGGTGGTTTGTACTGAATTTTGCCAAACTTCTAATTTATGCTTTATCTTTTCCTCAAAATACTCAATGTGTGTCTGTTAATAATGGACCAATTTTTAAAATTTTTTTCTTCTTTCCTTTTAATGTTCAAAAGTTTCAAAAAAAAAATACATTCATATGTCCAAGAAATACTGAGAGGAATAAGACTGAAGGAAAGTCCTTTACCAGATGATGGCAATACAGGTCCTGTATAAACATCTACTGGTGTATGCTGTAAAATTACTTTAAATGGGTGTGTAAAGTATTATACAAAGGTACAGTTTGGCATATTATTCTTACCACCACGAAATGAACAGTAAAGGACTTGTCAGAGTCTGAAGTAAGTAACTTCTGGAAACAATCATTCAAAGGAGCATCTAATGACTCAGAAAATGTATTTACTACAGGTATGTAGCCCTATGCCTGAGGCACATTTGTTGAATACTGATTAAAACATATGATGAATGATGATGGGATTAATAATCTGTGATAATTTATAATAGTTTTCACATATGAAAATACATCTATGAGACTACCAATGGACATAATTTCCAACTTGGTGCTACCTGTCCCCCATCTCAGTTCCATTATTCTCATCTCAAGATGTCATGCCCTGGACCTTTACTTCAACTGTGATACCCCAAGATTTTCCTGCAAGGCTCTCTTATATATTCTAGTCCCTTTACACCTGGAGCCCTCCTCACCTTTGACTGACTCCCAACTTCCCTGGCTAAGCAATGCCAGACTGTCGTAAGACTCAACCTAATCCTCTATCACCTCTCGTGTTTTTAGTACTACCTCCATGTGCTCAGCTACCTTATCTACCTGTATCTACCTCTTCATAATTTCTTCAGTCTCCATTCCACCTTCCAGCCCCGTTTTAAAGTAAGATCTTCCAATTATTAACGGCAGGACGACGATTTAACCAAGACTTGATTTCTTTATCTGTAAGATGAGGCGGTAATAATCCCACAAAAGGTTGCAGTGAAGAGTAAAACGCTTTCTTCAAAATAAACCCCGTGGTACTTACGAATTTATTCCTACCGCTGTCCTGCTCACTGAGACCACGTCCCCAGTCCGCGCACACGGCCCCTCTCCAAACTCCCGTTCACCTCCGTTTCCCTGGCTTCAGCCTTCCGGGCCGTCCACAGGCCGACCATCAAGCTAATAAGCATCTTCTCTCCCCAACCCATAGGCCCCTGCCTCCCCGCCCCTGAAGCTCAGCAATCCCAGTCCCGGTCCCCAGATTCTCTTACATTTTAAGCTGCACGTTGATGTCCAGGTCACAACTGTAGATGTAGTGAAACTTCTCCGCTTCCCCCATGGCACCGCCGACAAAGGGCAACACCGAACGCTGAAAACTGGGAGCTGGGATGACTCCTGCGGCACTGAATTTGCAGAGCCGCACAACACAGGCTCTTCCGGTTCCGCCTCTCAGCCCTGGCTCCGCCAATCCCTGCCGGGAGTGCGACCCTACGCAGCGGAACTGCCCGCCCCTCCAAGCGTTCTTTGCGCATGTGCAAAGGGAGCCCACCATCTTCTTGAGTGTAAATAGAATTCCGGGAACGCCGCCTATTTGATTACATACCAGATTTCCTGTCTTCTTCCTGTGTTAGTGGTGGTTTGTTTCTTGTTTGTTTTTTGTTTGTTGTTTTTTAAAGAAAATAAGAAACTGTCTTTTGAGCCTGAGCTATTTCTAAAATCAGTCCAAAAGGAAATGCAGTTCAAAAAGAATTGTCGCAACTTTCACTGGCTGGAGGTTGGTTAACCAGGGAACAATCACAGGAATTAGTGTTTTAACAAGTTTAAATTTCAGGGGCCCTTCCAAAACGTGTAGATTTAATCATGTATTTGCTATCTCAAGCAAAGATTTCCTCTTTCCGTTATAAAGAGTGGAGGAAGGACTTACAAATATATAGGCTACTTTAATCAAAGTACTTGGGTGCTTGTTTACACAGGGTGTATTCAGACCCAGTGTACCTTTGAAGACCTAACCCTTGTTAGAACCTAGAAACATCCAGTAACAGCTCTAGGACTCAGATTTCTGACCTCTAAACTCCTACAATGTTTATTTTTATATTTAATAGTATGTAAAATTGTAATGTGCATTTCCAACTAGATCCAAAACTCTTGGCAAAAATAGTGTGCCCCCTTGGTGCCTAATACATTGTTGAGTTTAATAATTCCTAGTCATTATTATTGGTGATATTCAATAAATTCTCTGTTTTCTATGTGTTTATTTTTAGGTGCCACATTGTAAGAGAGACATTGCTAGAGTATATATAAATTACTATAATTAGGGGAGAAGAAAAAGCTTTCAAGGAAAGATTGAAAGGAGTGTAGCTGTTTAACCTAGAAATCCAAAAACAATGGCTAATGCACAATGTTTTGTCCCAAGTAAATTTTCAAAAATATTTGTGGAAGCAACACTAGGGAAAAGCATGGTAGTTATTCTCCTGTTACTTACAGTTCCAACAAAAAGAGAGCCAACTTGATTTGTTCCTAAGTATAACTATTACCAATGGTTGGAACCTATAGGAAATGTAATTTCAGCAAGCAAAGAAACTTGAACTTTCTAATCATCAGAGCTCCCAACAGTAAAACAAATAGTTACAAGTGCCATGTCTATGGCATAATTCCAGCGGTAGATATCAGGTCTGATGTGAAACAGGTTTCTCAAACTTGAATAAAATATTGACAATTTGTAAAGAACTAAATTTTCTGATCCCAGTGCTGACTTAAATTACTTTTATTATAATGTTATTTAATGTATAAACCTGGGTAAACTTCATATAAGTACACATGTATATATTTCTTATGTTATTTAAAAATCAAATTTACAAATTAAATATAAAAACTTCAAATTAACAACCTTAATACAATACATAGCCTTTTTGCTGAAACTCTATTGCCTACAACATGAATATGGCATTGACTACTCTTACAGGACTGGTTCTTTGAAATTCAAGACATCTATACTGCTGTATACCACATGGCACTTCAATTTTCTTGCCTCATTTTCTATTCAAATTACTATGAACTCTTCATTAGTATAAGTACCATGATGGTATTTGGCCTTTACTTGGCCCCCAAAGCATTTTTTGTCTTAGGTCTATCTCTGTCCTTTTCTCATTAGCCCATAACAGTTAAAGTCCCAACACAGTCAAAGGCAGAACACAAATTAAGATATAAAAATGAAATATCAATACTTAGTTCCAAGATATTCATTCATAGGATCCAGGATAGACATATTAACTGTTTAAAGGTAATCATCAAGAAAAAAACAACATTAAGAATGTATTATGGGAGAATCTTAGAAAACTGGACTGTAACTGTCAAAGACATTAATGCAACAAAGAAAACTGGGCTTCCCTGGTGGCGCGGTGGTTGAGAGTCCGCCTGCCGATGCAGGGGACACGGGTTCGTGCGTTCCCCGGTCCGGGAAGATCCCACATGCCGCGGGGCGGCTAGGCGGGTGAGCCATGGCCGCTGGGCCTGCGCGTCCGGAGCCTGTGCTCCGCAACGGGAGAGGCCACAACAGTGAGAGGCCCGCGTACCACACACACATTAAAAAA